TTTTTTTTTTTTGCATAAAGATTAATAATTTTATAGGTTTGTATAATCGCATGAATATACGATAAAAATTTTAAATAATTAATTCTATTAAAAATTTTTTAAATATTAAATTCTTTAAAAATTTTTCAATATATCCTATTTGTTTGGGAATAATAAAGATCAATTTTATCTTTCATCATCTTAATTTTCGTATATTAATTGAATCAAAATTAATAAAGAATTAATACGAGATGCATATATCGTATCAAGGGAAAATGATTTTCATCATTAAATTTTTGGAATGCCCATTTTCTTTGAAACTTATTGTCACGTGCATCGGGGAAAAAAATTTTCCCCCATCTATCTAAAGAGTGATGCAAATGAAAGCTCCCCTCTTATTCGCCTTCTCTATCTCGAGAGGCCTTATAATCGTGTCATGAGGAGAAAGCGAATTGATGAAATCAGAAATGCAGATCATGATCGCACAAGAGATTAAATGTATATATGTACAACTATAGGATGGAAACAAGAAAAAATATATTTGTGCATTTGTTTTATGAAATTTTCTAAATTTTTGTTCGATTTTTCCCTATATGAGTAATAATCAGATGATTGTCATGATAATTTTTTATATTATATATAAAGATTGTTATTATCATCTTTCCTTCTTTTTATACTTGATAAATATTAAACATTATTTATATATTAAATTTTACATACTTTTTAATATTTATGTTATTTTATATTATTCATATTTTTTCAAAATAGTATTTAATACAATATATATATAATATTTTTTAAAATACATTATAATATTTTTTACGTCAATGGTTAAAATGCATCTAAAGAGGCTGAAAAAGGTTTCAGTCTTTTAAAAGGGACTCATTTTTTTCCACCAGCCAGAAAGAGAACACTCTTTACACCCATTCTTCATTGTTTATGGACTACTCTGCATTTTCTTTAAATGTTAAAAACTTTTTTACAACAAAAAGGCAATAAATATAGAAATATAGATATAGTTTAAAAATATAGAGTAAGTAATTTTACTTGAACTTTATATTATATATTTACAACTTAAAAAAATCTTTTCTTCTTTATAAATATCTTTCTTATCATTCCTATCATCATTCCTTACAATTGTTGAATCTAAAATTTCTTCTGTTTTCAGAGATCCATATATATAAAAAATGAAACAAACTTCGCGCCATTTTTTTCGACTCAACGTTATACTATATTTTTTTCTGAGAAAAAAGTTTCACAAGCGAATCGACTGGCGTCCGTTTTCTCACGTTTTCCGCTCGAAAAGTTACGGTCACTCAGCCGAGACCCACCTCATAGTTTAATCCGGGGTGCACTTGATTCAAGAGATCATGTGCAACCTGTGCCTATATACAGGGGTAACCGAACTCCAAAAACACCCCCAAGGGTCCAGGGCGGCCGGCAGAACGTTTAAAATAAATTTCAATTCGAAGCCAGAAAGGGGAGTGTGTGTATGTGTGTGTATATCACTTTCATTAGACCTCTGTCGTGTTTAACGAGCTATTGATATCTTCCACTCACTGGGTAGTACCACTGTATAAGTAGATTGGTATGGGCGTATACATGTATGAGCTTGCCACGGTGATCATTACTACATCCCCTTTTCCAGAGCTCCCTTTTTCAACCAAGGAAATCACCATATGTATGCGATGTGTGTGTTAAAGGCGCGATGAAACCTATAGCGATTCCATTCTAAAGTTTTGCCCTATGGGAAAGTTCAGATGCTCGGATAATTGCGGTTAAACCAGAAAATTAGGTTCATGACGAATCACTGATCACCGAGGGCGAGTTGTGGGAAGTTTTACAAGATGATCATTCTTTCCTTGTGAAACATATTGTTACATCGAATGTTATATCAGCTTGATAGAATTATATAGAGTTTTAAAATTTAAACAATTGTTAGATAAAGTTGTTCATCCTTTTTGCGATTTTTTTGAATTAATTTCAAGCATTTTCCTCGGGAACAGTTCAGTTTCCTTCGATAATACAAATTCAAGAGGACAAAGCACAGGAATTCTTTGAAAGACCAATGCGCAAGGTTGGAGTTCTATCCCCCTTGCTGTGAATAAGAAACGTATGAAAAAAGGGGCCAGGAAGTGTGTACACCCACAAGAATCCGGTTCTGTTGTGAAACAACCATGCCAATTGTTCTTATTTTTTATTTTTTTGTTTTCTTCTTCTTCTCGCTTCTTTCTTATTTTACAATAAAACTAAAATTAAATATATGTATTAAATGTAAATATATGTATATATATATGCATATATGCGTATATACATAATAAATATATATATGTATATAGATGCACACAAAGAACAAAGAACATATAAAACGAAAGAGGTTAACAATGGAAGAAATTTGTCTTATATACAATTGAGTATACCGTATCGAATCATGCCTTCACAAATTATAAGTTGTAAAAGAATCTTATTGATTTATTAGAATGCAAGGAGAAAAGAGACTATATGGCAGTTGGCCTCGAAGAAGTTGTGGATCCTTCTATAGAATCCTATATAAATCGTGGGCTGTGGCTTTCTATGGAGGAACACGTGCCAGCCACATGTTGCACAAAACGAATCCTTCAGTGATCCTTTCGAATATCCGAAGCGTAAAGTCGCAGTTACAAAGGAATTTTAGAAGCCTATAAATGATTCTCTTTTGGACGAAGGATATAAAACATCGGCAGATGTTTTCCGACTGAATCTCTTCAAAGATGTTGAATTTCCTATATGCGGATGTTTCAAAAGGATGTGTATAGAATATTACAAAATATCAATAATTTCAATCAACTTAACCTAATCTAACCTAATCTTCTGAGTCGTTTCAGAAAATTTTCAATGTTTATTCTAATTTTTAAAAAATTTTTTTTACAATTATTTATATATTATTTAACCAATTAATTTATTATTATTTTCAGTAATAATTAATATCTTTATAATTTTTAATTTGAATTTTATCGTATTTCAAATACAATTATAATATACAACATTATTCTATATACACACACATACATATATATATATATATATATACATTTTATTTTATTTTATTATTTTATTATATCAATATGTTATATTGTAAATTACTTGAAGAAATAATTTTTGACAGGCACATATAATCTAACAAGTTACGATCAAGGAACGGGACGATTCTCGAGAACACGTGGTTGTGACCATCTGTTGGCATACTGCTTCAACCATCTTATCCTTAGAAACCTTGCAAGTTCTTCTCTCCTGCATCCACAATATTAACACGCCAGCATCAATTTTTTTTGAAATTTTATTTTATTTATAAAATATATTTATGAAACGAAAATATGTGTTTTAAAGAAAGAAAGAAAAAAATTCATAAAGATAGTTTAGATTTTTAAAAACTATTTACTAAACTAACTATTTAATAAAGGAAATAAAGTATCGATTAGACGAGAATACAAAATAAAAGAAAATAGAACAGATATAATAGGAAAATGAGACAAAAGAAACTCTTTAGAAATTTATTATCAAGAAATTCAACTTTCTATCATCTTCATCGTGAAATTACCACAAAGAAGACGAGGTGTAAACTTTCCCAGCAACACGTTTAAATATTTATCTTAAAGAACGACTTATGCTCTTAATAATGAGCGACGAATTTTTAAGAGGTACGTGAAAGACTGCCATATGTTCTCCGCTTCTTTTCTTTTCGTTTTTAGAATTTATTTTTACTAACTGAGAGAGATGTTTTTTTCGTGCAACAGGATACGATAGAACGGATATGTTTTCAAGAAGAAGTAACCGGCACGATTTCAAAGTTGTAAAAGCTGGAGGATCCGTTTGAGCGGACCGCTTTGTGTCCCGCGATAAAAAGTGTTTCAAGCAGGTAAAACATTCCTACTGAAGCGATTCTACCTGATCCACCTGGCTTTCACACTACATTTTCGACCACAGTTTCTTCTTATGTATGTACATCTCTAAAGTACTCTGAAAGTAATTTTTTTCATGATTAAATTTTTCTAATTAATTGTCTAAAGATATGGAAAATATGGTGAATTTCATTATTTGCAATATTTTAATCTGAAGGTTGAGATTCTTGGAAGAACAATATATTCGAAAGCTAAGAGCGTACATATTTGATTGATCGACGAATTATCTTCGAAAGAAAATCCGAGGAGGATCCTAAGTTGACTGGGAGTATTGAAGAAAGTCGTCAAAATTGCAGCTTAAGAACCTAATATCGACGGCTTTCGAGAAGAGGCTTGGATATTACATATTGCTATAAAGTGCTCTTTCTAAAATATCTTCTTCCGACAAGTGATACTGCTCTTCATTTTTTTTTTTTTTGAAGTAAGCATTTAATCCATTTATTCCTTTACTTCGTTTCACTATAAAGATCTATGATTTCTATGAAGATTAATATTAATGA